GGCGAGGCCCGGAAGACCTCAGGCCCTAAGCGCTGCAGACCCAGGCTTTCCAGACCTCCAGCACCTTCCAGGCCTCCTGGGGGCTCCCGCCTGGGATCCGAGCCTCCGGGTCCTCTCCATGCTCCCGGCCGGAACCTCCCTCCAGCCTGATCTCCTCCAGCCTCATCTCCCCGGGCTCGGGCTGGTCCCCAAGTGGCTGCCACGTTCCCCAGGTGTGGCTCCCCACCCTCTTCCCGGCCACGGAAATCCCGCCACCCGCAGCCCGGGCCGGGCCTCCCCTCGCACTGAGCCTCCTCCCTGGCGGCCTCCGGCCCCAGGGGCTCACCCTCAACCAACCACGGTAAGGGACTGTTCTGCCACGGGGCTCCCGTGTCCGCCTCGCCCCCCACCCGTGTCTGCCGGGGCGGGGGGGGGGAGTCCTGAGAGCCCCCGGGCTGCCGGGATGGGCGCGAAGGGGCCCGGCCCGGCCCAGGCCCGGCCCTCTGGGGGCGCAGCGTGGGCTCCGCGAGGGCCTCCACAATCCACCGGACTGGAGTCTGCGGCTCGTGTCCCGAGCCTCGAGCTGGCCTCGGAGGGGCCGGGCGCGGGGGGCGCGGGGCGCTGCGGGTGGGCGCGGGGGCGCCATCGCAGCTCCCATCCCCCTCCACCCTGGGGGGGGCGGCGCGCGCGCGGGGCGGAGGCCGCCCGGAGCTTCCAGAGCAGGGCGGGGAGAGAGTGGCCGGCGCGGAGGCCACGGCCGCCACACGAGGCCCTTCTCCTGCAACAACTGCCCGGATCCGGAGCGCCCCGGGGGTGGGGACGGGGTGGGGGGGCAGCCCTCCCGCGGGAGGCCGGTCACGTGGGGCCGCTGGGGTGGAAGCGAAGATGGCAGAGACGCGGAGGCCTTGGAGGCGCCCGGGCCGTGGGAAGCAGGGGCCTCCCGCGGGATGCCGCGCCCACGGCGCACCCCTGCACCCCGCACCCCCTTTCCCGGGAAGTATTACTCGGAAGAGAACAAAGCCGAGCTTGGAGGCGGTGAATGCAGGCTAGGGAGCCCCGGCGTTGCACGGCGGGCAGGCCGGGTGGGGTGGGAAGGACGAGGCGCCACGTGGGCGCGGAGGCCGCCATTGTGGCCCTCCTGGGAAGGAGGCCGGGGAAGGACTGAGGGGCTTGGAAGATGGCTCCCCCAGCCCCCTCCCGGGACAGACCGGGCCCGGCCCCTGCGGGCCTCGCTGGCCTCCTCCGCCCCTCGCCCCGGAGCTGTGGGGCTGGACGCGGGGCCGCCGCGGCTGGGCCAGGCGAGCAGCAGCCGGAGAAGGTGGCGCTATTTCGTGAAGATGGATTTGAAAAGAAACAATCCACGAATCCAGGGCGGAGGCCACGGACTCCATTAGGTCGGGCTGCCCTGCCATGGTCCACCAGAGGGCGCCAGCGCCTCCTTTACAGATCAGCAGACCCTGATGTTTTGGGGTTCGAATCCCGATCAACCTCCCCCCTTCCCCTCGCAAACCAGGATGTTGGCCAACATTCAAATGCGAGGGACACCCCTTGCCCTTCCCCTGATGTCCTGGGAAGGGGGGGGACCTGCGGCTAACGCTTCTAGGGGAGCAAAAGCAAGAAAGCCCCAGGCCAAATAAATTGCCTGGAGTTTGCTGGATGAAGAGAAGGGGGGAAGGCAATGGGATCGCTCAGCCTCTGATTCATGCCACCAACCCGTGTCTGGTTTTGCTTTCGTTATCCCTCCCCCCGCCCCCAGCAACGTGAAGTCTGCCATTATGAAGTGTACAATTGTTTCAGAAGTTTTCATCACCCCCAAAGAAACTCCCTCCCTCCCCACGAAGCGAGAAGTCAACTCTAATCACCCATTCTTGGCTTCAGTCATGATCGGCCCGCAGGAACTCAGGGCCTTCACCTGGAGATGGGAATTTGAGCCCAACTCAGCGTTGCCTAAATCCGGTCTCTTACAGGGATGGCCGAACCCTGTCCAAAGACTTAGCTCACAAAAGTTTCCCACTCCATCTTGCCCCCTGGAATGTATTTCTTGGGGCTGTACATCTTGTCTTTGGCCGGAGACGCAAGTAGGAATGGAAGTGTCAGCCCAGAGTAGCATGCCCCCATGATTAACCAGACTTCTAGGATTCAGGCACCTGGCCCTCCTTCCCAGCCAGGGCTGCACAATTCAGGGCTAGTGTTTAAAAACAGCAGCGCTGAAGGCTGGGGGTTCAGTGACAGGTGTGGAAAGGAGGATCCAGGGCCAGGGGAGAGTTCCTAGGCCCATGTGAGTCTTCACGGCCCTTGACTTCCCATCTCTGGGATTTGATCTTCAGCCTTCAGAGGTGAGTTTCCTGCTGCAGGCTACTTGTGGGGCTATTTGTCTTGCTGGTTTGGAGGCCTTAGCCACCGGTATTTCATGTTGAGGGTTTGGAACAGAGTTTTGGCGAGGAAAGCTGGGGGGTGTCTCTGACTTCCCAGCTCTGGGAGAGAGAAGTGAGGGACCTCTTCCTAGAAGGTCATATATTCTATTTTGTTGTTAGTGGTGGTCTTGGGGCTTGAACTCTGGGCCTGGGTGCTGTCCCTAAGCTCTTCAGCTCAAGGCTAGTGCTTTACCATTTGAGCCACAGCACCAATTCCAGTTTCCTGGTGGTTTCTTGGAGATAAGAGTCTTACAGACTTTCCTGCCCAGGCTGGCGTTGAACCGCGATCCTCAGATCTCAGCCTCCTGAGAAGCTAGGATTACAGGCATGAGCCATGGGTGCCTAGTAGGTCATATATTCTTAAGGTGAATTCTGGTTAAATTGCCACACTAGTTTTAAGCTTTCCCCATCCTCCATAAATGGGGTGCAGGCATTGGGTTCATCAGTCATTCAGGGTCCACATCATGGCAGCTACTTGTGCTCCAGGCATTTATCCTGTGTTCTGGTTAAAGGAAAAACCTGATGTGCCTTGGGGAAATGTGTTAAATTAACTAAACGGCTAATTGAGAATCATCTGGGGAAATACTAGAGATTGAAGCTCCAGGTTCAACGGTTTTTTTTAACTTAGATGGAACTATTCACAAGTATGCAAAAAAAAAAAAAAATACCAAACCCGCAGTGACAAATCTTCCCATTCTTCTTTCTGATCTGCCCATTTCTATCCCCCAAAGGCAAATACTCGTCCACATTTCTTGTGTATGTGCAAACATATATGAAGAGAAATTTTAATCTCTTTCTTTTATACAAAAGTCGTATCTTTTGCCTTTCATCCTAAATTTTGCATTCCCTCTCCCACTTATTAATACACCTCAGAATTCTCTATGCCAATGCACATGCGCTTGTTATTTTTCACAGTCTAGTACTTTTCCACTATATGATATGCTGTCCCTATCTCATCTGTCTCCTCTTATGATTGCTTGGGTCTTATCCAGTCATCTGCTTTCACAGATGATGATGTAACTTTCTGACACATGTGTTATTTTGCATATATGCAGTTGGACTTAGCGGATAAATTCCTTAAATTGGAAATGCTTGGTGAAAGGCAGATGTCTTGAAAGTGATGATCCCTGGTGCCTTCCTTCTTCTAATGGGAAGGGAGGAGAGAGAGCCAGACAAGGCAGGGTTGAGCTGCTTTGTGCTCTATGGATGTTTGATCATCTTGTTGCTCACCTATTCTGAGCTCCAGTTGTTTATTTGTGTGTGTGTGTGTGTGTGTGTGTGTGTGCGCACGCGTGCTTGAACTCTGGGCCTGGGCGCTGTCCCTCAGCAATTCAGCCCAAGGCAAGTGCTCTACCATTTGAGCCACAGCGCCACTTCTATTTTCTGGTGGTTAATTGGAGATAAGAGTCTCACGGACTTTCCTGCCCGGGCTGGCTTTGAACTGCGATTCTCAGATCTCAGCCTCCTGAGTAGCTGGGATTACAGGCACCCGGCTCCAGTTTTTAAATCTATAAAATGTGTCCTGTACAGTCTAAGGGCTTAGCTCAGTTGTAGAACCCTCGCTTTGCATGTACAAGGCCCTGTGTTTGAACCCCAGCACAACACATACACACACACACACACACACACACACACACACACACGCACACACACACACAACCCCCTATAATGTGGCATGCGCAGCTGTGAGATGAAATGAGGTGAGCTATGCAGAATATTTAGTTCAAGGTCAGATACATAATCTTGTCTTCCCTGGTGCCTTCTGGAACCTTCAGTGAGAGCCCAGGATTGAGTTTAGCAGTCAGGCCATTTCTCTTCATTGGAAGATGTCCTGCCCCACTGTTGTGCCCTTATACCCCTACTGTGCTCTGCTGATAGAATCTCTACAGGACAAGCTACCGTGCAAGCTACACTGTCATGGAATTTTCTGGAAGGAAAACCCTTGCTTTGCCTTCAATCCTCAGGACTCTGGTCCCTGGCATGGTCCACAAATAGTGCTGTCTTCTATTTGTTGAGTCTTTGCCATCAGCACCATGCAATGTGGAGTATTTTCCATGTGTGATTCCATTCAGTTCTCAGAATTACCAGTACCACTGCTGGGCCGACTTCTCCATCATTCTCTACCTTCATCCCACCAAATACAACATCTTCTATTTGAGCTTCTGGTCTTGGACTCCTCTAGGCTGCCTTTTCCAATGTGTGTGTGTATGTGGGGAGGGGTGAGAATCCAGTGTGTGTAGATTTCCTGTGACCTTAGAGTTTTCATGTCTATTGAGAATGAACCCTCTTTTGAAATATGGACGTGCAGATTGAAGGGTGAGTTTGATCTCCTATGACCAGAAATGGAGTCTATGATATCCTATGACCAGAAATGGAGTCTTCGGGGTATAAAAGTCCACTTGGCAGCCAATCTCCGGAGGCCTCACCCAAGGAGACAGTCACAGATCTTTCTAGATATCACACAGCTCGCTTGCATTTCTGCCTCCGTTCTCTTGTCTCGCCACAAGGGAGCCAGGCGAATGGGGAGCCCGAGGTTTTGTTTGCTGAGTCTGCCTGCTTCTCCACCTCCAAAAGGCCAGGTGTTTCAGAACTCCAGTGACCAAGAACATGGCTGAGGAGAAGGAAGCGGATGCCTTCAAGATACTGAGGATTCACGACAGACGCGTGGAGAGGAGAAATCTGCGGGAGAGTTACGCCACCGCTCCTCAGCTGCAGCGAGGACAGCAGCAGCTGGGCAGTTCTTACGGGAGTTCCCCACTGCCCCCCGCACAGCACAGCCCCGTGTATCAGGAACTGAGCAATATGACCCAAGAGCAGTGGGACCTCCAGAGCCGGGACACATCCGGACTCCAGGCCATGTGGTTCTCAGAGGGAGAACTGAAGGACAGAGCTGGCCCCAGGTAAGTCTCTGATGAACAAAACCCAGTGAGGCCCCTAAACCCCCATGAGCCCTTGGGAGAAAGGGTTCCGGGCACGAAGCTCCATACTTCACTCTGTCTCTTCCCTCTCTCCAACATGTCATAGCTTTCTACCAGAAGCCACATTTGGTAAGTATTGGCTGTGACAATGCAGGTAGGAAGGGGTGGTAGACCCAAGCTGGACCCCGGGGTTGGCAACCCACAATGGTGAGGGCCCTAGGGTGCAGAACACAGTGCTCTGTCTGTGAGTGGTAGGTATTGCTGTTTCTCTGCAGGCCAGCCCTACATGTCACCATCCCTGAGCAGAGACGTCTGGTCATTCCTCAGGAACATTGTAAGTGTCTTCCGGGGTGTATTTGCCTCTCAGGTGCTCCCCCCTCCCCTCTGTCTGTTGAGAAGTGGGAGTGTGTGCCCATGCTTGCGTAGTTGGTGGTGTCCTGGGGGGAACCTCCTTCTTCTAAACAGCTGCTCTGCTTAGTCCCCCATCCTGACTCCAGCATCAGGGTGCCATGGTGTGGCTTCTTCTAGAGCCGTGCTCTGGGGCACCCCGGGGCCAGGTTGTGTTCTGAGATCTGCTGTGATGTGGCGGAGTCTGGCTGCAGGAAGGAAGCACGCTGAGCCTCCCCCTGCCCCCGCCCTGTCCTCTCCTCAGCCTCCAGTCCCGCCTGAGGTGATGGTCAGGAGGGCCCCGGGCGATTTCTGCAAGGTGGGCACGCTGCTCCACGGGAAGAGGGTCAACGCCATTGCCGTCAGCCGCGCCCCCCACCATGTGTACACGTGTGGCTCGGGCTACATCAGGGTGTGGGACGACAGCGCTCTGCACGCCTTCGACAGGACCCCGAAGGCCCAGCTGGACTTTCAGGCATGGCTTTGGGGAGGCCAACACCAGCCCTCTGTCTTTGGTGCTGTGGCGGGAGTGGGGGTTAACGGAGTCTGCACTATTGCTTCAGAACCGGCAGAACCGGGTCCTCACCTGCAAGCTCTTCCCTGACGAGCAGAGCCTCATCACTGGAGGCGTGGCTCAGACGCTGACGCTCTGGGACCTGGCGCCCACACCCCAAGTCAAAGCACAGCTGGCCTCCACAGGCCCCATTTGCTATTCCCTGGCCGTCTCCTCGGATGCCCACATCTGCTTGGCTTGCTTCAAAGGATTTGTGGAGATCTGGGATGTGCAGAACCAAATCTTGATCAGGTATGGCCTGTCCCCTGCAGACCCGCTCCCACTGAGCACAGCTGGCCTGCAAGGCCCTGCCCTGCCCTCCTCTCCTTGGGTGCCATGGGTGGGGCCGCCATGCTTGTCTGTGGACCTGTGAGTTGTTTTCCCACCAGGAAACATGAAGTGCCCGTCTATGGCTCCCGCTGTGTGGACATCACAGGCCACAAGTTCTGGACGGGCGGTGAAGACACCATCTTGTATTCCTGGGACCTGAGGAGTTACCAGAGGCTGCAGCAGCATCACTTAAGTAATGAGGTACCTGTTGGTCATGTCAGGACTGGTGCATCCCTTGCGGAGCTTTGGATGGCTAGGCATGGGGAGGGATGGGGAGGTGGGGTCAGAGGTCACAGATTCAAGCATGTAAGGATGGCCCTGGAAACGTGGAATACTGACCTCCAACCATTTTCTAACCAGATCCTCTGCATAACGCACGACCCCGGTGAGGAGTGGGTGTTAGCGGGCTTGAAAATGAGTGACATTGTAATCCTGCACGCTCATCGCGATGAGAAGTTTAAGGCTGTGATACAAAGATACACCCATCACCACAACCTCAAGTTTGCTTCCAGTGGTGAGTGATACACCAGGAGGCTGCTGTAGACATTTGTGTGTGTGTGGGGGGGGAGAACTCACTTTTGTATTGTCTTTCTCTTGTTCTCCTTTTCCTGTAATGCGAGAGCTTCTTGTACAGAATGACACAGAAGATGCAGACAGAGAGAAAGACGGAAGAGTCACACAGCCCTGTGTGATGGTCCATTTGGTTCAGTGGTACCCCTGATCCTCTGCATGGCGGGAGGTTTGCGGCAGAGAATGGCCTAGGTTATGTTTCTGATTTTCATAGGCAAGGAAACTGAGGCAGAAAAAGAGTTGTCCTCTCTCTCCTCAGTCTAGTTCAGGGCAGAGCTGGAAGGACAACACAGCCTCAAGTCTCTGGGCTCCTTGTCTGTTTCTTTCCCAGGGACCTATTTTGTATCTACACAAGATGAGTCCGTCCATTGCATAGAGGCCCCGAGTCTACAAAGGTTGTTTCAGGTATGGGAAGGGAGGGTGTGTGTACAGACTCAAAGCACTGGGTACTTGTGGGCCCTGAACCCACTTGGTGGATCGAGAGGGTGCAGGAAAGCACCTCTGAGCTGGCATTTAATAGAGTAGGGGACACTGAACTCATGGGCTCCACCTTGAGCCCTATGCCTTGGTCTTGTTTGCAGAGCAAGCCTTAGGTCTCTGCTAACCAAACAGTTCTAACAGTCCTTGCCTCACCCCCTCTTTCCTTCTAGGCAGAAGAGTCTTCGGACATTCTGTGTTGTGATATTTCCTCGGATAACAAGTATCTGGTCACAGGCTCCAAGAATACCGCCACAGTTTACCAGCTCTTGTACTGAGGATCCTGGGCCATGGCTCAAAGAAGAGCTCAGTTCAGGGTTCCAGAAAGTTTCAGTACCTTCTCCATCTCAGCCTTGATAATTGGTCGTCCATCCCCTTCCTACACCTCCAGCCTGGACTCCCGGGTTTATATTATTTGGCTTGTGGTTTTCCTTTGTTATTTTTCTACCACTGGTTTCTAGGTTTGGATAGGGAAGTTTGTGAAATATAATTGTAATGAATAAACTAGCAAAGTAAACACAAAATTAGCCTGGATGCATGTCTGTTTCTTTCAGGGAACAAAGGAAGTCCCTGTGCTGGATGGGTGATGTTTCTGCTTAGCAAATGCAGATATAGTGAACTCCATTCTCCCAGGTTGGGGAGAAGAGCTTAGACCAAGTAACAAGAAAAAGTACAGCCTTGTATCCATGTCTCAATCATGCATTGATTCCATCAACCAGGAACTAAAAAGGTTTGGAAAAGACTTCCTAGACTACAGGTAGTCTAGGAGACACATTTTCATGGATATTACAAAAGAAGCGGGATCAATGTCATCAGTCTCAAGAAGGGTCCGCCTCCCAGATTCCCCCACAGCAAGTGTGGCCTTCTAATTTGCAGATTTAATTCCTGGAAGAACTGTAATGGACATTTCTTTTGTGGCGATGTTAAACGACTTGCACGAGGACCTCAAACCTTATTTATATCCGCAGTCCTGTGGAGGAGAGTGGCGTGCACCCCCTTGACACATGGTTCCCAAGTTGGGTTTGTGTGTGTCCCGGGGTCCCTGGCGCAGCATCTTTCTGAGCCTCTTTTTCACTTCGATGCACGTTGCTGGGGGACAGCCCATATAGCATGGCAAAAGACCATGCCCTCTCTGAATTCGAACTCAGGACCCTCAAATTATGAGGCTGACGTGCTGCCCACTGTGCCACGAGGACAACTCGACTACAGGGCACTCTCCACCACTAAAGAGACAATGCCCGCCGCACCTGCGGCAGCACAGGCTCCCGGAGAGAGTGGAAGGGGCGTGGCGGGCGGGGACACGTGGAAGGGGCGTGGCTCCGTCGCCCCCAGCTGCCCAAGACTCCACCAAAGGTCCCGGATGTGTGCAGTGGAGCAGAAGGTGCAGTCGTTTACAGGTGCGAGGCGTCCAGTGTACCCCGAAAGCAGGGAACTGCTGCGGGTGCCAGGGTGGGGAGAGCGGGAGCGGACGTGGCGGAGGGGGGGGGGGGGAGTGGGGGGGACCGGCCCCGCTGGGATCCCCAGTCCTGACCGCGGGAGTGGTCGCTGCAGCCGGAGCTCGCTACGGTGATGGCTGACGGCTGGTGGGTGAACAAGAGAAGAAAGCTGGACTCGGGGTCTTGAACTAGGCTTGGGGAGCCCAGGTGGAGGAGTAGGACGAAGTTAGAGTGGGAAATCTCCAAGCCCAGAGCCAGGGCTGTGCATAGAGTTAGGGACAGGTGTGAGATGAGGAAAGGCAAAGAAGATTCCAGAAGACTCTTGGATGTGAATCCAGTAGGCAAGTGGAGGGGAGAAATAATGATTAGCTTAGACTTGCTCACAGATACCTTTATTTTACCCTATGTTTTGTTTTTCTCTTTGTCTCGATATCCTTCCTTGGTACACACCAGGACATGTGATTTTGAAGGGCAGAAGAGGAGCACTTTAAACCCCTCTGAGCAGAGGCTTCGAGCTCGCATCTATCATCCAAGCTACTCAAGAGGCCCAGATCTGAGGATTATGATTTGAAACCAGTCAAAAGAGGTGAGACTCATATTTCAAATTAAGCAGTGGGAAGCCAGAAGTGGAGGCCTGGCTCAAGCCTATGGGTAGGGAGCCAGGTAGGACGATTTATCCTTATAACAGAAGACAGTAGGGCATTGCTGCTAGATGTGAACAATATACCTCAATTTTCCCCCGGGTCACAGGTGACATGATAACCTCAGACTTGCTAGCTTATTCACCCACTAAGCCCTTCTGGAATTTGTTTTCACAAAAGCAATAATATGATGCCTGACAAGGCCCCCTCCTCTTCAGGAATTAATTTAAGACTCCTGTGGGAACAGACGGAGACAGTTCTTACACTGATACTCTTATTGCTCTTAGAGGACTGAAGTCCCTAGCACATGCTGTGGCTTCAAGTGGTTCTCTGTGGGTGAGGCCTGCCTCCTCCATTAGATCCGGACCTCTGTGCTAGCTCAAGGCTCTCCACCCCTGGCTCAGGAGAATGAGGAAGGAAAGGTTGGGCCCACCACTGCTTGACCTGAACATGGCTTCCAAGACACCCAATTGCAGTGGGTGCCTTGTACTCCTTCCTGTTGCCTGACACTCAACCTGGAGTCCCCTGGAGATAGAGGAGCCCACCACAGGGGCAGCCTGTCTAGTATACCAGTCCAGTATGCCAGCCCCACAATCCCTGTCAGTCCTCACATTCTTTGTCTGCCTCTCACCTAACTCCTATCCCACCACTGGGAAGGCTTTAAGAGTGTAGAATGGAACCTGGAGAATCTGGTCTGTAGATCTGCTACAGCTTGCAGCATGTGTGTGTGTGTGTGTATGTATATATACACACATACACAGTCTTATTACACTCTGAATCTCAACAGAAGAGGAACAGCATTAGTTGTGTTTTTGCATAATCCAAAGCATTGATATATTGTCAGTGTTCTGAAGGGCCAGTTTGGCTGGGTATAAAATCCTGGAGACATTCTTTTGAGTGCCCTACTGATGTTAAAAATTGCTGACCCCCTAAGGGGGCACTCATACCCTTATAAGGGACACCCTTAGGCTGCCTGGTTTCTGCTTCCTCAGCTTCGAAGCCCAGTTCTATTCTTGGGTGTTTCTTGGTGTGAAGGAAGTGTAGGTTTTGAAGCCAGGCAGATGGGAATCTAAACAGAATGTGTGGGCTTGGAGCTTGACTTCTCTGTGCTCTCCTTTTCTCCTCCATAAAGAAGGAATAGTATGAAGCTTAAGGCATAGTAGGTGGTTGGTAACTAATGTCTTTTTTTAATAACTAATATCTTAAAAAACAAACCAACAACTGGCACCAGTGGCTCACACCTGTAATCCTAGCTACTCAGGAAGCTGAGATCTGAGGATCACGGTTCAAAGCCAGCCCGGGCAGGAAAGTCTGAGAAACTCTTATCTTCAATATACCACTAGAAAACCAAAAGTAATGCTGTGGCTCAAGCAGTAGAGCGCTCACTTTAAGTTGAAGAGCATGGGGACAGTGCCCAGGCCCAGAGTTCAAGCCCCATGACCGACAAAAAAAACCCCAAACCCAAACCAAAACAAACCACCACCACCACCACCAAAACCCAAACCAAACCAGAACAAACTCTGAGAAGAAGAGCAACAAGGAAGATAAAATTCTTAGGAATGGACTTCATAAGAAATGTGCAAAACCTATAAAAGGAAATTTTTGCTGCACTTCTGAGAGACAGAAACATGCAAAGTGGGAAGATAGCCCCTGATTCTGGATAACAAAACTCAACTTCTTTATGATGCTACTTTTCCACAAGTTAATTTATAAATATAGTGTATTATAAAAATACCAATATACAGGCACTGGTGGCTTATGCTTATAATCCTAGCTCCTCAGGAGGCTGGGAACATCCATGAGACTCTTATGTCCAGTCAGCAAAATGCAGGTAGTGGAGGTGTGTCTCCAGTGGTAGAGTGCTAACTTTGAACAACAGCAACAAAAAAGCTAGAGGACAGCTTGACACCCTGAGTTCAAGCCCAGTACTGGCATAAAAAAATAACAATCTTGGGCTGGGAACGTGGCTCAGTGGTAGAGTGCTTGCCTTGCATGCATGAGGCCCTGGGTTGATTCCTCAGCACCATATAAGCAAAAAGAAAAAAAGCGGGAAGTGACGCTGTGGCTCAAGTGGTAGCGTGCTAGCCTTGAGGTGAAGAGCTGAAGGACAGCGCCCAGGCCGGGAGTTCAGGCCCCATGACCGGACCCCCCAAAAAACAAACAAAAACAAACAAAACAAAAAAAATAACAATCTTGTGCCAGACCCCAGTGGCTCACGCCTGTAATCCTAGCTACTCAGGAGGCTGAGATCTGAGGATTTTGGTGCAAAGCCAGCCCAGGCAAGGAAAGTCCATGAGACTCTTACCTCCAATAAACCACCAGAAAACCAGAAGTGGCACTGAGACTCAAGTAGTAGAATGCTAACTTTGAGCTGAAGAGCTGAGGGACAGCACCCAGGTCCAGAGTTCAAGCCCCATGGCGACAAGAACCAAAACCAATCTTTTTGTTTCATGTAGTTGGTAAAACTAACATAGGAAATAAGCATGCTAGAATAGCTAGGGAAAAACTGAGATAAAAGGAGGGAAGAGGGCTGGGAAGGTGGCTCAGTGGTAGAGAGCTTGCCTTGCATGCCTGAGGCCCTGGGTTCGATTCCTCAGCACCACATAAGCAAAAAGAAAAAGGCTGGAAGTGGCGCTGTGGCTCAAGTGGTAGAGTGCTAGCCTTGAGCTGAAGAGCTGAGGGACAGCGCCCAGGCTCAGAGTTTAGGCCCCATGACTGGACCCCCCCCCCAAAAAAAGGAGGGAAGACTAGCCCTGCCTGATATTAAAATGAGCTGTAAATTCAAGTGGGGTCCTGGAATATGAGAAGAGGTGGATGGGCCACTGGGTATATCTGAGTAAAGTCTGTAGATTTATTAATGTGTAGATGGTAATTTTCTGGTTTTGATTGTTGTGTGACAATTGAGTGTTAGGGGAAAGCTGAGTTAAAAAGTTCATGGGAATTTTATTATTTCTATCATTGTTTTGTAAGTCTGAACTTTAAAAGGAAGAAAATTAAAAAGAGATAGAACGAGGTCTTACTGTAGAGAGCCTGGTAAAGTAAGTTTTGGACATGGGCTCCAGGATTAAGTTTCCAGCACTCAGGTATAAATTCCTCTGAAGCAGCACAAATAGATCAAAACATGGTTTGATTGTCAGGCAAGGAGCTGGGCTGTTGGTGACCAACTTTATAACTTTTTATGTCAAGAAATACGTCTATGTT